AGGGTTCACAACACTTCAGCTTTTTAAAAAGTCCATTAGTATCCAGCGAGTCTCAAAAACCAAAGTGCAGGGAGGGGAAGAAAGACCTTTACAGAAGAATGCCAGCTATAAATATGAAAGAAATGACAGGATTTTTAAATCATCATTTTCATCCCTTGATATACAGATTTAAGTGAAAATCATCAATTGAGAACCCTAGAGGTACCGGATGAAAGCTTGTTGGGTGTGTTAGCTTTCTGTTCCTGTGACAAAATACCTGAATAAGTCAACTCTGAAAAAAGGGTTGATTTCGGCTCTCACTTTCAGGGTTTTCTGCCCACGGTCAGCTGGACCCAAGGCAGAAACGTCCTGGCAGAAGGTTGTGGTACAGGAATGATATGTGCCTCAAGGCACCAAGGAAGTGGAGAGAGGGAAGAACCAGAGATGAAGGAACTGGGACCCAGATGTTGTCCCCAAGCTCACACCCCTATGATCTACTCCCTTCAGCTGAGCCCCACCTCCCAAAAATGCAAACAAATTTCCATTTCATTAGTATATTAATTCCCTTACTGAAGTTAGAGCCCTCACGAGCCGATCAAATGCCCAAACTAATCAGCAGCCAAACCTTCAGCACAGTGAGCCTTTGGGGGTACACATATCCAAACCATAATCTAATGCGGGGCAAGATACCACTTGGTCTCAAGAGTACCACACACCACCTACACAATGTTAATTACTGTGGGAGAAGATGCCATGAGTGGTCTGGTGGATACTGCCTGACCACCGGGCTAACCGGCGGCAACCTCACTGCCTGGGCTCTTCCTGCCATGTTACATAAATGTCCATCACCAAGGTAGCATCTGTGTCCAGCGCGATTCACCAGAATTTAATCAGCATGAAACAGACGTGTTGATATTGAATGCATTGTTCATTACAACTTGTTCTGGTCAGCTGAAGTCCACCAACGACCAAGCAGTGTGAGAAACTAGTAATTGATCTTATGGACCTATCTAAATATCTTTTTCTAAGCCAACAAAAAAATATCACTTTTAGAACTGTAAAAAAAATATAGACTGTAGGGTTATCTGCAAAGCCACTGGCTGGGCTCCTAAAACAGTGCTGTGGAAAATAGGTAATAAAGGGGGACAGTTCTGGATTAAAAAGATTTAAGGGAGAAGTAAAAACAATCAAGATATATATATTCTCCAAGAAGAATAGAATTATTATGTATTATAAACACATACTAAACAAGTTTAAATAAAAGAAAAGAAACTAAAGAGCTATCACAGCCAAATGCCCTACATGCCCTTTAGGGCATGTAGGAACAACCCGGGGACGGTGGTAGACCACGCGTCAGAAGTCTGATGTGCTCTCACTCTCAGATGTGCTAACACACTGCCCATGCCAGAGGATGTGTCTATTCTCGGAAGATCTTTACTACAGTACGCAGGGGTGATTTGCATGATTGTCTGTGTCTTCCAAATGTCTCAGAAATAAAGAAAATAACAACTTGATTATGAGAGCACCAATCAGCAGAATGCTAACAAAGGGATACAGATGCCATGGCACGGCTGCAACATTTCTGTAAACTGAGAAATTTTTTTTGAATTGAAACCTTGGAAAAAATGAATGGCTCTGATGCTTCAGGACACTTACTAGAAAGGAAATCTAGAGCCCCACTAGCAAGGATCTCGTGCGTGCCCGCTTCCTAACACATGGAGGGAATCGGGTCAGCTGCTTTGGGAGTAGGGCTCTCAGTGCCCAAGTGACAGGGTAGGGGTGGGGAACTTCTAAGTGTCCAGCACGGGCAACCAGGGGGTGACAGTGCTGCCATTTACTAAAGTGCCAAACGTCAGAGGAGAAGATAGGGCTTTGGGGGTGGGGGGCAAGAACAAAATATATAATTTTGGACAGCCACAGACTCCCCCAAAGCCCACACAGGGCTTGAGTTACAAAACCCCACTGCAGAAGGAGCAGGGACAGACCCCAGGATGAAGCTTGGAAGATGGATGGAAAGAGAGGAAAGGAGCTATAATGATAGAAAATGGAAAGAGACAGCCCAGAGGTGGATAAGCCTGGGGTCTGGGTTAAACACCAGGCAGAGGGGCCAACTGTGCAACTGCTCCTCAGACATCGAACAAGGATAGGAGACTGGCTACCGTGGGCTATTAAAATGTGGTCCACAAAAAGCAAAACCATAGCCAAGCATGGTGGCGCACACCAGTAATCCCAGCCCTTGGGAGACTGGGGCAGGAGGATGCTTGTGAGTGCAAGGCCAGCCTGGGCTACGCAGTGAGTTCAAGGCCAGCCTGAACCACACTATGAGACCCTGTCTCTCATATATATATATATATATATATATATATATATATATATATATATAATTTTTTTTCTGCCATAACACCACACATCTCTGGTGACACCAACATCACCTGGCCTACTGGGTACTCCTCTACCTGCTTGCACCTTCTCCTACTTCTGCCTGGAGATTACAGTCTATAACCCTGTTGGGTTCAGTCTCTCCAAGTGCTTTTTCTTATTTGGAGCTTGTTAAGGAGGAGGCAGGACTTAGCAAAAAATAATTTTTCAGTTCTGGACTCCAGGACCTCCCACATGCTAGGCAAGCACTCTACCACTTGTGCACGAGCTCCATCGCCAGCACCTTAGGAATTCTTAACATGCTCTTTCAAAGGACAGTGATAAGAGATCAAAAGCTATAAAAGGAAATCCAAACCAAATTTTAAAAGGAGAGACAAGATAGCTCAAAAGTGACTGTACCAATCAGCTGCAATAGCACACACTTGTAATCAGTTACTTGGGAGGCTGAGGCAGGATTGCAAATTCTAGGCTAGTCTGGACAACTAGACACAGTATGTCTCAAAAAAATCTTTTAAAGGGCTGGCGGTGTGGCTCAGTGGCAGAGTACTCACCTAGTGTGCAAGAGGCCATGGGTTCAATTTCTAGCAGTGCTGGGCAAAAAAGGGCAGAAAGAAATAATCATATCAAGTACACTTGTCTTTTAGCCGAAGCTGATTCTGAAGATCAGAGTACGTAGGCAAGAGAGGTGGAAAGTAGGAATCCAGTTAATCACTCAATGAGTATCATCAATTCATCAGAATGAGCTGCTCGGGGCTGGGGATTTAGCTCAGCGGCATAAGCGCCTGCCTTGTAAGCAGGCAGTCGTGAGTTCGATCCCTGGTACCGATAAAAAGGAAAAGGACAAAAAAAAAATTGATAAAAAAGAATGAGCTGCTCGCCCAGCACTAGCTAGAGAAACTCAAAACCAGAGTTGTTCTGCTGGACTGATAAGATGATGTCCCACCCAGCTCACCATCCAGCAATAACACGGAGTAATAGACTGGCCATAATGGCGGAAGACAAAGTGTTCCCTCAGGCTGGTCTCCTCTGGTTACAGAGCCCTGACCACTGCCACGGGAAAGCTGAGAACTTTCATCATCTAACACATTTGCAAAATTCATTGGCTTTAACAAACTGTTCTCCAAACACCTGGCCTGTACATTCTCCTCTAACCAGCCTGTGCTATATCATATTCAAAGGGCACTATAGGCTCTCATTTGCCTAGAAAAATATCCATCAGCTGTCAGAGTAGCTTAAACCCATCTCAGCTCTGGTGAAACACTCACTTCAGGGAAATACAACGATCTGTTTAGTCAGATTTAGTTAAGTTTTAACAAAATCCAGGTGAAGGAGTGAATATATCTGGAAAAACAGAAGAGTTTTACAAGCAGCTCCAAGAAGTAATTCTTTCAGGAGAGGAAAAAAGATGTGAAACCCTCCCTATCACTGTAGAAGGCAGGAGGAATCAGATTCCACAAATAGGGAACCTTCTGGTGATCCCAGTTTAAAATTTTCCAGCTGCCTTGAGATTGTGAGGTCTTCCTGCACGCCCCCACCCAGCTCTGCAGTGCCCCAGAACCTTGATGCTTTGTGTTGAGGTTTAAAATTCATTAATTTCTAGGATCCCTCATTTGATCCCCCCAAAGACCACAGACTAGAACATCAAGAAGCCAACATATGTAGCGTGTGTCACTCTCAACAAGGGGACACTGCTCTTTTAAGTGAACTGTCTGTCCCTCATCTTATTCCTGCTATATTTTGTGCGTACAAGTCTGCAAGTCAGAGAGCTCCATTCAGTATGTGTGAGCACTCGGTAGCACATAGGCGTGTTTTTAGGGCCCTTGCATTCCTGTACCGGCTTTAGGACTGAAACCCTAAGCCCTAGAATGTGTCTCTGCTAATAATAGAGCTCACCTTCTCAAGCCTGAAAGAGCTAGCAAGAGAATGGCTCCCACTATGGAGGGATCCAAAAGACTGTGCGCCTGAACACACAGACGCCCTGACACTTCTCTTCACCCCCTCACAAGCCCTGCCGTGGCTTCCTGACTTCCCAGGGGGCTTTTGCCCTAAACTTCCCACCCAGAGCACAGAAGCACCAGTGTTCAGAGCTGACCACGTGAGATAAAGGATGTTTTAGCAGCTTTTAGCAGCGATTCTCGAGTAAGAATAAGATACTGGCTGAAGCTTTATAGAATCTGAAGATTTCCCTGTTAAAATTCCACCACCAAACAGTTGTGAAATTAACCCAGCACTTCTCAACAAACTTCTATCCCAGGGACACCCCAGGGGCGGGCCAGGGTGGTGGGAAGCTCAGAGAAGAGCATTTGCCCAAGCTGCACAAGGCCCTGACTTCCGTCCCCAGTGCAGCATGAGGGAGGAAAAAAAACCACTCCAGAACCTTCCCTCGTGGGGAAACATGAAACATTTGTCAGCCTCCGAGGGACAGATGTGTAAGAAGGAACTTTCTGTTCACACTCCTTCGACATGAAGAAGGGCAGCTGACAGATAAATTTGGACACAGCAAATGTCACTTTCAACTTCCTGGGCAAGCGATGTAAGCACAAGAGCCTTTAAGGTAGGATTTAGGTAGGGCTCCGTCTCAGTCTGTACAAAGTCTCTTATTTCCAATACCTACATCTCTCAAAGAGAAATAAACCTCAAGCCAAGATTGATACATATTTTATGTACAAATAAAAGGGTAAGTGATACAGATGGAATTGCTTTATAAATACCTACAGCGAGTTCCCTTAAAAAGATGTGAATTTAAAACTCTCTCAGCACAGGGACCATTCCTTCCCAAGAGGGTGACCTTCTAGAGAGCGCCCCTGGGGAAGAGGAGCCTTTGAGACCCAGGTAGAGCCTTCCCATCTCCCTAGAGGGGACAGGTGACTTGAAGGCCATCTGCTGCCCAGAACTTGGGTGTGATTAAACTGTTCCTTCACAAGCCTTCGGTCTTCTTTGTCACGCTGCTGGTTAAGTGGTGTCTGTTTCCTGCAATGGCCCACAGTGGGGGAGGAAAGGGACCTACAGTAGTGTGGGAAAGCAAAAGGTTGGGTATTTTGATTTTAAAAAAAAGACCCTTGGTAATCAATGGAACACGTCCAGCCAATGTATAAGTTCACCAGAGGGAAACCCGTAATTTAGCATCGCTTCTAGACAGGCGAGCGACCCTTTCGGAAGGCCACTGCTTAGCACCAGTTTCTGTCCTGGGAAATTGCCATCCCTCCGGCCCATGGCTGTCAGGGTGCTGTCAGGGCACAGCACACCCAGTGGTACTTTTCATCAGTGACACAGCCAGGCATGGAGGGACACAGAGTCCACCAGAGGACAAACAGCCAGCTCACACCACGCGAACTCTTCTCGGGGGTCATCCTGACTCGGGGAACACAAGCAGCTCCTCGGTCTCCTCCTGGGGGGCTTCTTGGCTCTCCAGGCCCCTGGGCTTTACTCAAAGTGACGCAGGTGGTTGTACAGCGACTGGACATAGGTGAAGACACACATGGGGTCTGGCTTGCGGCCCATCACCATCATGTCCTCCACCTCGATGAGGCGCTCGCAGTTGGCCAGGTTCCTGGAGCAGAGAAGCCGCCATCAGGACACAGTCCCGCCCCACAGCCACCCCACCTCACCAGGACCACACCCCTGTTCCCAGAGCACCTGTGAAGTTCACACAGATCACTTTCCCATTACAGAGATTCACCTTTTTCTTTTCCAGCACTGGAAACTGACCAGGGATGGTCTGCCCCTTGTGCTATATTTCCAGCACCTTTTTATTCTGAGACAGGGTTTCCCTAAGCAGTTCAGTTAGGCACAAACTTAGAATCCTCCTGCCTTAGGCTCCCAGAAGGCTAGGATTACACCATGCCCAGCTTCCACTTGCTATTCTGACTGAAAGTCTTTATTTACATTTTCAGTGAAATCAAGTTTAAGTACACAACTTCACACAGAAAACCAGCATGACCTATGAACATATATATATACATATATAAGTAATTAAGCAAAAAGAAAATTCACCCATTTGCCTCCTAAAACAGTAGTTTTAAACTTTTTTAAAACTATAACCTTCAGCCAGGTGTGGTGGCGCACGCCTATAATCCCAGCACTTCGGAGGCTGAGGCAGGAGGATTGCTGTGAGTCTGAGATCAGCCTGGGCTACACATTGTGTTCAAAGCCAGCCTGAATGACAGTGAGATCTTGTTTCAAAAAGCAAAAAATCAACACAGAAACAAATAAATAAATGGCTATGACCTTCATAAAGAAAGTTATTCTCCATGATGGTTCAGTACACACATATTCACACACTCAACCAGGCTTAAATTGAAAGTATTACAGAAGAGCTGCATTTACAGTGAACACGTACAGGCTTTTTCTTTTGCCTCTCATTATTGCCTCCACCACACGGGCTAACAAGCACTTACACTGCAGCAGGCCATCTAGAGATGGCTGAAAGGAAACAGGAGCTCGCTCATAGGCTACATGGAATTTATGCCATTTTACTGAAGGGACTTGGGCATCTGTGGGCTTGGTGTTCATGGGTCCTGAATCAATCTGCTGTGCATAATGAAAGGTGGTTGTATGAAGAAATAAGCCATCAAATTCTAACTTTTATAAGCGCTGACATTTTCTCTGCATTTCATATTTATCTCTCTCCCTCCTTTTATAAATGTACCACTAAGCTGATGATAGGTCACAGTGGCAGCAGAAAAAGCTGCCCAGAATCACCCTGTTTCCAGCCGCCAGCACTTGCCCTGGAACACACTGGTCTAACTTTCAGCCCACAGATGCAGGCCTGTACATAAACTCCGAGCATTTCTTTCTTTGGGCTCAGAGGGTGGAGGCCGGTGGCCTCCAGGAGGTGGGGAGATGAGTGCCACAGTGATCAACACGTACAGTCCTGTGTAACTCAAGCACTGCGTTCTGACCAGCAGTGGGCTCCACTCCAATGCAAGCAACGCCCACCTCATCCTCCACTCTGCTTCCCATGTGCCTGGATCTCCAGGGTGCAGACACCATCAGCCAGGTCACACAGAACCAAACAGGCGACACAATGGCTCTGGTGAACTCATCAGAGCCTGCTCTCTGCAGCTGTCTGTACTTCTGCAGTTCCAGGGATGCGAGGTCTTTTCTTTTCCTCAGGTTAATGAGTGTATGAGGGCCATGGTTCAAATCCCATCTGCATCTTTTATACTTAAATTTTATATGAGTCTCCGTTTCCCATCTGGTATAACAGCCACCTCACAGAGTGATATGAGGATTAGTAACCTAATCCATGAAAATCAGTTGAAAGAGTTGCATGAACTGTTCGAAATGATTATGCTTAATGTTTTTATGATTATTCCTTGCTTTAAGAAGCAGTGCAGGAGCTGGGATATAGTTTAGTGGCATAGCGCCTGCCTGGCAAGTGCAAGGTCATGAGTTCGATTCCCGGTACCAGGAAAGAAAGGCAGGAAGGAAGAAAGAGAGAGAGAGAGAGAAAGGAAGAAAAGAAGGAAGGAAAGGAAGGAAGGAAGGAAAAAGAAAGAAAGAAAGAAAGACAAAAGAAAAAAAGGAAGGAAGGATCACAAAGAAAAGAAGCTGACTGTGAAATCTAAACAGCTGGTCTCACACAGTGACCCTGCCAAACACCTACTTCACCTTTCTGTGCCGATTTCCTGGGCAGGAAATGAGAACATCTCTGTTCTCCCTCCCAGGAGGTTTACTGCCAGCTGTGTTTCTGCAGCGTGTCCTTACACAACCTGTCTCCCCAGAGAGCTCCCCTAGAGAGAACCCAGCAAGCAGCCCGGGCTCCCTGGGCTGCCCCAGAGCTTCCTACCAGGACACGGTGGCGGACAGCTCCCAGGGCTGTGCACTCCTGAGACAAAGCCCGTAACATTAGCCCCAGCCCTGCTCTGCGATGCTGGCCAGAGGCCAGGCCTCCTATCAGAACCCAAATGTCAAGGCGAAATGGAGACATCTGTCCTGGATCCTGTTCAGAGCTGGAGCCTCCCTTCAGAGGTGGAACGGGCAGTCTGTCAGGGAACCCAATGGCTTCCTGGGGTGACAGTGGGTTTGGTCCCATCACTGGGCACCCTTTCTCCCACGAAAAGGCTGTGGCAGGGTTTGGTATCAAACAAGTCAGCCGTTTCATGAGGGCAAGCAAGCAAAGGAGCTTCGTGGGCTGAGTTCCACAGAGAGCCCGGGGACTTCCGCTAGCCTTATGGAGCCCTCCTTAGGGGGCTAAGTGCCTCCTCCTTGGCGGGTCCCAGGGAGAATCCCTTCTCGCTCGTCCTCTCCTCCCTCTGGGCCTCAAAAGCCTGCTTTCAGAGGATCCCAGGCATGGACAAGCAGGTTCCATGTGAGCCCAGTCACTACCACCCCATGGTAGCCTAAGTTGTCACCCAAGTTAGGCAAGGACAGCATTAAAATCCCAGGACCTCTGCCTGGGAAGGGCACTCAAATGTCTACAATCAAAGCACATCATTTAGAGCCCCTGCCCCAGCTTGCTTGCCAGCAGGGCTGCAGAAAGGAACCTAAAGTTCTTCCCAGCATCATTCCGACTCCTCCACTATAAGAGGGCTCAGCTGTGAGAAAATTGTTCCTTATGTGGATTATGCTAATTTTGCCTCTGTACCTTTTACGCGTAATTCTACAAGGTTATTCTCAGTGTAATTTGCTTTCCCTACAAAAAAGCCCTTTACACATTGGAAGAGAACCTTCACATCTACATCTGTCTGAAATGAAATTCCTTTGCTGCTCTCACCCTGGTCTCTCTAGTGCCCTTCATGAAGACACAGAGCTGTTGGCATTTTCCAGGTTTGCCCAGCTGTGGAACGGAAAACTGGTAGACCCCTGCCTCATCCTCATGGTTGCATTTACCCTCCAACCAATGACCACTGCCCTGCCCAGGCAGCAAGTTTTGGAAATCAAGGTGGTCAACAGGATAGGAGCAAAGGTCATAAACTGGAGTCACCCTCCACTGCCCAGACAACAATCCCTGATCAGGGTTGCTCAGCAGGCAACTGGGAAATTGGGCCGCAATCCAGCTGGTTTCCACTCCACTGCTATTTTTAAGTCAGGCAGATGATAGTATAGGGGTCCCTTAAAGGGGGATCATAGAGTCCAACACGCAGCCACCATCTCTCTGTTCCCTCTTTTCTCTCCCCCTGCCAACTCTGCCCTGCACCTCTTCTCCTAGAGAGCTCTGAGGTCTCCCTCTGATACGACAGTATCCCCGTCCCAGAGGCCACCGCATGGTCCGTAACAAAACCTCAGGGGCATCTGCCCTTTCCTCGGCCTGGCCCTGCAGACAGAGCTCTCTATCTCTGAAACAGGTGCCAGCCACAATGGAAACAAGATTCCTAGAAGCTAAAGATACAGGCTACACACAAGTCAGGGGACAGAATCTGAGAAAAAAGAAATGACAGTCACCATTGACTTTGATCAAAATATTTAAATCTCAAAATATCAGCAGTCCCAGCACTCCAGGAGGTTGAGGCAGCAGGAATGCAAGTTCAAGACGAAACTGGACAACTTGGAAAGGCACCATCTCAAAATAATTTTTTTTAAAGGAGTAGGGATATAGCTCACTGTAAAGGCCCTGGGTTTAATCCTCACTACAGAAAGAAAAACAAAAAAACCCAGCTCCCATTGCCATATATATATATATATATATATTTTAAAGCCTTTGTAAAAACAATCCGAGCTTGTTTTAAACAATTTAAACCTCATGGTGAAGGCCAAAGGAGAAGATACATATCACTTCCGTTATAACAACAGAGCAGGCCCAAGCTTGACCCCGCCATGCTCTGTGGACTCGCTTAAACACCACCTCACGGGGCTGGGACAACACTCAAAGCACTTTCTCCTATTCCCAGCTATTTAGTGAGCTGCAGCTACCGTAGGACTGGCCACTAAGGAACATGGAGGGGGCTTGGGAGTTATTTTATTTTTTTAACGCCTGCTCTAAATGCAGGTCGGGATGCCAGGGCTGGGACTGCTGCCTCCTGTCTTGTTTTAGACTGAGACACATGGGTACTACAAATAGCCTGGAAGCCCCTTCTGCTGGGGCGTAACCCAAGGGCAGGACGCATTCCACACAGGGCAAGCGGGAAGCCACAGGCCACACATCCCATGTCTGCACTGTGCTCTGGGAGAGGCGAGGAGGGAAGGTGGAGAGGGGTCAGGCGTCCACCTGGCTCAGCCCCCCATAAAAGGCACTGGTCCTAGTTCCAGGCACTGGACACCTGGCAGGCCAGGGAAGCTCACTCAGCTGTCAGCACCATATCACTCACACAGATTAGGCCACAAGGGATCTCTGGGCCCAGCAGTTATGGGGGAGGGGCAGCACCACTTTACTCCGAAGAAGGTTCCAGATGTATCTTTGTGCCTGGAAGGCACCTGCTCGCGGGGTTTGGCAATATTTCCTTCCTGATGCTGGGTGGATACGTGGTTTAGAGACCTCATGTCTTCCTCTCCCTTCCAAAGTCCGTGCCTTGGTCAGATCCCAGGCTCCCCTCATCTCCTGCTGCGTGCTCCCCAAACTGCCATGCTTAGCTCTGTCCTCTGCCTGCCTGGCTCAGCATGGGTTTCAACAGCCCCAAGGTGTGTGCTCAGATTTTGCTAGCATACCTAGGAACTACATACTAAAGACACTGCCCGCCAAGACCCTCGAGCAGGTGTTCCTGTGCGTTTCCACAGCTTTCCTAACCAGCCAGTTTTCCAAAGACCTGGGAGATCTGAGCAGTGGTCCTCCCCAGAGGTCCCGGCAGGCAGGATATCCTCCCAAGCCTCTCCCCACCACCTGAGAGATAATCTCAGGGATGACTCCTAAGCGAAGGTTCCTCCCAGGCTCTGAGCAAGCTCCCCACACAGACGTTCTGTGGACGCCCCTTCCCACACCCTGGAGTCAGCAAAAAAGTCAGACCTGGGCTCAGTAATCCCACTGCGCCCTCCTCCTTTCCCCAGCTGGGAGCAGGTTCAGGCCCAGGGAGGCAGGGCCAAGGTTTTCCCGGTTTGCTCTGGGAAGAAGCAGGCAAAGACTGGACCAGCCTCCAGCACCCCCACCCCCAGGCTGCGAATAGAAGAAACATCTGTTTAGAGTCTGCAGGCTCCGTGGACTCAAACCTCATGTTGGGAAAACATAGCCTTGGAACCACACTGGCTCTGGCTGCCAAGGGAGTCTGTGCTCCCTGCAAGCTGGGAAAAGGGGTCACCACCCAATGGCCCCTGGTGTTCCTCTCCCTATATCCAGAGCTGAGGGTGGCCAAGGTGGCCAGGGATTGAGCTGGCCCAGCTTAGCAGACGGAGAGGGTAAAGAACTCTGGAAGACCAGCACGGTCTGCCCCAGCCGGGTGGGCCTTGGGCGTCCACGTGGGAGCCCTGATCCCACACATTCTAACAGTCTGGTTTTTGACAGTTGCCATTTCTGAGTTCCAAGCAGCTGGGCCTCCTCCTGTGAGCCACCCCCTCCCCATATCATGCCTCGACACTTGGCGGGACTCCACCATCGTCTGGATCCAGTTGCATAACACACTCAGTCAGAGCTGTTTCTGCTATTAGGATGACAACTAACCCCAAGCAGCCAAGACAGAGACGGCTCTTAAAGTACACAAGGCATTCTTATGACCCCCAAGGGGGCCAAGAGTCCCAGGGCGTCAGCGTCATCTGAGACAACACAGTGGGCCAGCACTGAGGATTCCAAATCCTCAGACCAGGGAGCTTAGGGCAGAGACTCCATTCTGCCCCCAGAGCATGCAGCTAACCAGGCCCCAGACAGGCTCACAGTACCAAGTGTGGGTTACCACACCCCGGGTGCAACCCCTTCCTTGGCAGCCTGGGCAGAGGGGCTGGAGCTGGGCAGCTAGGCCAGCAATGGAATGAGCAGGACAGACAAGGCCTTGGGCAGGACTCTCTCACCCTAACAGGCCCATGAGGACGCAGGCACTGAGGACTCAAGCTGGAAACAAACATGGCCTTGGAGAACAGAGCCAGTCTGCCAACACACAGTACACAGGCGGAGGAGAAGAGGAACACGCCAGTGGAAAAATCAGCTTTGGGGTCAACCTGCCTGCTGTCTGACCAGTGGACAACTCAGCACCACTCGCCTCTGCATGATCTGGGGACCATGGGCCACAATGACAGCTCCCCTGCCCTCTCTCTTCCAGCTAGGGTTGGCCAACAAGAGGCCTGGTGAGAGGGCAGGAGGGGGATGAGGTCAGAGCACGCACCCGGTGTCTCCCCCTCTCCTGGTGTCCCTGCTGTGTCCATTTGCCAAGGCTAGCGACAGCCTCTGCACAGTGCTGGTGTTCTCCCCAGCTCCGGTGGCTGCAGGCGAGGGGCTGCTGCCCTGCCTGCCATACTCCCCTCCCTGCTGCCTGCATCTCTGTGAAGAGTCCCTTCATGAAACTCACTCGTCCTCTGCCAGGGCCCTGCTGAGCAGATCTCTCTTGGCTAACTCTCTGATACTCTAGGGGTTGCTCTGGCCATTAACCTACTCTCAGAAGGGTTTCCCAGCACAGCCTGACCCTAGAACTTGTTCCTGCTCCCGACACCTCCTTTCACTCTGGGCCCGGCCCTTGGTATGATGGTGTGGAGCAGCGGCAGCCTGTAAAAGGCATTTGGGTCATGTGGGGTCCACCTTTATGAAGGGGTTAATGTAGTTCCCACAGGAGTGGACTGGTTATCTCGAGAACGGGCTGATGGAAAGTGTGCACCCTTTCCCTGGCTCCATGGACACAGAGCACCTGCCCTAAGCTGCCCAATTCCCGTCCTAAGCTGAAGCAGCACAAGGCTCTCACCAGAAGACGAGCAGAGGCCATCACCACGATTTTGGACTTCCAGTCCCCAGAATTGTGAGTTATAATAAACCTGTTTTCTTTATAAATTATCTAGTATCGTGTTATAGTATAGTATAGTATCTGTTATAGCAAGAGAAAACACACTAAGGCAATTTCACTGTAAATGCTAGAATGGTATATACGGAAGAAAAATCTACTTTTGAAATATCCCAGATGTCAACTGGTTTCTTGCTGGTCAGCAGTTGGACTTGTCCAAGCAACACATCTCTTTACCAGCCTGAGGAGTAGACTCACTTCCCTGGGACCCTGTCCCACTGGTCCTTCACACCATCTGGGAATGGTCTCCTAGACCACACCACAGAGGCAGGCTCCCCAGCAAGAAAGGCAGGAATGCAGGATAGAGAGACCTCGCTTTACCACTAGGTGCTGGGTATGGCTGGGAAAATCCCATGCCAGGCCTTTGTCTTCCCATCTGTACAACAGGAAGGCAGACCCATGGCGCTGAGGTCTCTCAGCTCTTTGGACAGCTTCCCATGTCCTAGATCCCACCTGGACAGGAGTTAGGCTCAAGCTCTGGGCTGGGGCTGGGGTGGGCAGGGCTTGCACACTCACTCAGCCATGGTGAAGGCCAGCTCGAAGTTCTTCTGCCGCTGCGTGGGGCTCAGGGCGTTGTAGTCGAAGGCATCGGGGAAGAAGGAGTGTACCAGGGCACAGAAGGCCATCCCATCGCTCCAGCTGGAGGAGAAGTTCTGCAGGTCCACGTGCTGCGAGCAGGCGAGTGGGCACGGGTAGGGATGACTCCCTCGGCTCCCCACACCAACACAGCCCCACGAGCAGATTCTCCCAGCCTCCCCCACGGCCCACCCCCACCCAGCCCACCCACAAATGTTATCGCCAGGCTGGACTGGTCTGCTCAGGCCTCCATCCAGTTTCTCCAGATTTCTAACTAACCAGCCACAGAAGGTGGCAAGGTGAGTTCTCTGGCTCCTACCTTACCTGCCCAGCCTTGGAAGCACAGAGGGCAGCAAAGGCAAGGGCAGCAGTGCCTGGTCTAACCGTGGGCTGGGCTCACCTGGTAGCCCAGGGTCTTGCTGCGGCACCACTCGAGCAGGATCTGCTTGATGCTGCTGGCACTGGCCACGCCAAAGCTCTGTGACCGCTTCAGCTTGGCCCGAGCCTCGCCTTTGCCCCTACAAGGAGAAGCAGACCTGCTGTGGGGGGCCCCAAGCATACGCCCCCCCCCCCGTGTGCTTGCTCCAGGGGGACACTGGTCAGCATTCTGTACCACCCGGACGGCCTCTTCTGATGCTGTCTGGCAGGACAGTCCTCTTTCTTCCAGCCCCCCAGGACCCCGTGTGTCTCCCACAGCAGGAAGCAGGGCTCACTGAGACAGAGGACCTGAGCCACCATGCCTCATGCCCCTGCACTCCTCCTGAGCCACCTTCCTCCCTTCACCCCAGCCTCCCTCTGTGCTCCCTCAGAGACCTCCTTCTGGGATGGCTCTCTTAGCCAGAAGGGGTAGTCTCTTCCTCTGGGCCGCAGGTCACTCCCTAATGGCCTTGACCACATTGCCTGGGTTAGGGGTGTGGCAGTGAAGCTTCCTGGGCCTCCCTCCCCCACTGAAGTCCACAGAAGGCCTGTGTCACAACCTGCGCACAGCAGGTGTCAACAGTGCTACAAGGTGACCAGGTATGAAAGGCAAGCCGCAGCCCAAGGGCACCTTTGCGAAAATGGCCTGGTAGTGACCAGTAGGGTTCTGCTTGTGTCACTTTTTTTTTTTTTTTGGTAAGAGAAAAAACAGTAATAACAATGATACAGAATTTCAGAACAAGATAGTAGGAAATTAGTCCTCAAGCAAGCCCAACCCCTTGGTGAGGCACCCAAGGCCTGCTAGGACTCCCGGCCCCTGTAGGTTCCCCAGTCATGCCCCAAAACTGGAGGAGCCACAACCCATGAGGAATTCAGGTGAGGAGGCCTGAGAACACCAGGGCTGCTGAGGACCAGGTGCCACAGGATGGACAGGAGGGGTCCTCATCGGGCCATACCCCACAACCCTCACCTCCCCACAACTAGGGCCCCCAGACCACCCTGTGATGCAGCCCTGACCTGACTTTACCAGAGAGGTCTGATCTTGGGGAACAGGACAGACCCCACCCTATCTGACCCGAGGGTGGCTTGGGTCTGCGCTGGGGGACGGGCTTGATAGGTGCAGGGGATCCTTACTTGCCCGCTGTGTCCTGCTCCCACTTCTCAAACAATGCCTTCCGGGCTTGCGCCCCTGAGGTGCGGGGTAGGGTCTGTGACCTCACCAGCTCCCTGCGACGCTCTCCCTGGTGAGGGGCTGGAGCTGTGGCTGGCAGCTGCGGGGACAAGGGTGACTGGGGTGGCGTCACCAGTGGTGGGCTAAGGAGAGAAGCACCAAGTCAGGAAGACAGACCCAGGAATCGCTGGCTTCCTGAGCCTGTGGCCCCGCATTCTGTGTGATGTACTGGAGCCCTGCTTGCCCTGTCCAGCTGGTTTGGCAGGTTTTTGAACAGAGCTGCTGTCTGAAGCCATCAGTCCTAACTGGGGTGGAAAGGTGGGCCCCCTCTCTGGGCATTGCTACCCCTCGGCAGGTGTCAGCACCTAGGGAGGCAAGGGGACAGCCTCCTCTTGCCAGAGGTGCACCGAGAGCCAGCCCCAGCAGGACAGGCCTCCTTCTCAATACCCCACGTAAGAATCCTTTTGTTCCCCCCTGGAACACTCTGAGAAGTCACATTTCTCCCTTTATTATTAAAAGTGGGCAGGAGTGGGAAGCCAACCTCGCCACCACACCCCCCACAGTGCAGCAGGCTGGGGAACACAGGGCCCCAACCGGCCCCTAGGAGGTCTGCACGGTGGGGAAGCCCTGCTGGGGAAGCCCTGTGGCCTGCCCCAGCCCACAGGCTTCTCCAGTAACTGCCCAGAGAAAGCAGAAGGTCCTGTGCCCTTCCTCCTCCCCTGTGGGCTGAGACACACACACACACACACACACACACCCTGCAGTCTTCTCTTTTTTTCAATGCAAGAGGTCAAACCTCGGGCCTCTCCTATTCTAGGAAAATGCTCAATCACTAGGCTACATCCTAGCTGGGTTCTTTGTTTCTTTGGAACCCAGGACCTTTGTACTGTACTACATCCCCAGCTCTTTTTTACTTTTAATCATGACTTTTATTTTTATTTAGAGACAGGGTCTCACTAAGGTACTCAGGCTGTCCTTGACCTTGTAGTGTCCTGCCTCAGCTTCCAAGTGCTGGGATTGCACACCTGCAATCTTTTGTTTTAAAGGTAGCAAGGTTTTCCATTTTATTAAAGGTTGGGAAATAAAGGTGCTCTGCAGAGGGGGTGCAGACCACTTAAAGGCAGGAAAAGAAGGACACTTGGCAGAGTGCCGCAGAGGGCCCAGACAAAGAGAGAGCACAGGCTAATGAGGTGGACGGTAACTCTCCCTTGTGTCCTCCATTCTGACGTCAGATCTAGGGCATCCTATCAAAAACCTGCTTGGTTTTGTATCAGAATTTAAAATAGCATTTTCTGGTTGATCCTAGGTACAGAGCTTGGAACTGTTTTTCTGTGCATGGGTGCTGGATTTCTGGGACTGTCATGTGGTGCCTCTTGTCTGGCTGGCTGCCCATGCCCAGATCCCTTGCCGCCTTTTACCCTAAGAGACATAAATTGGCCTTCACAGGATGCTGAGGGGCCACACCTGCAGTCTGTCAACTGACTTGTTTAAAGGACCCTCAGCAAAGTGGGGCTGAAGCCATGCTTCTCCAGACAAACCTCTCCACCCAGCCTCACCCTGCTCCTACTCTACCTACTAGCTCAGTTGCCTCAGCTCTGCAGAGCCCCAGCTTCCAGGAAGATAGGGCACCTGGGCAGCCCAGCCCCAGGCAATGCAGGGAAGCCACCCTGGGGCCTCAGAACTCACCTGTCCTTGCACTTGCCTGCCGTCACTCCCCTGTAACCAGCGATTGGTAAAGACCGTGTGAAGGAAGAATTCTTCTCTGCAGCATGAAAGAAGAAAACAGTACAGGCAGCCTCAGGACGGCCAGCCACAGCTCCCTTCCTTGGGCCAACCCTGCCCCATTTGACTGGCACCGCTTGGGACCCAAGCAGGAAGCCCTTGTCTAAGCTAGCACTGCCTCAGAGAACTGAGGAGAAAGGAGGATGGGGACATACAGCAGTGACATCAAAGAGATCCTTTAAATTGTCTGTTACTCCATTCTGAGGGCACAAAGCCCAAGGATTCTTACGCTGTGTGACCAGCAAACACTGTCCCCAAATTTCCCTTTGGAATCCCACATTGTGCTGGCCCAGAACCCGTCACCGAGGCTGACCACAGGCCCGAGACAGGCCTGGGGCTAATGGGGCACGGTGCTCAGCAAGGGGACTGTGCCAACGCCACACTAAGCAGGGCTGTGACCCATCAGGAAAGCCAGGGCCATCCCAGAAGATGACCACACGTCACAATACCTCTAGGGAATTTGGCAAGGTCAAACCCACTTTGACGGAGCAGATGGAATAAATGACGGAGCCACAGTGATGGGCAGAGGTGGGCTGGGGCTTGGCCAGGGTCTCCTGAGTCTCCTGCGACCCCAGCCCCTGCCCTCCCCCTTCCACGGTGAGGTGGGCAGACCCCCACATCATGCTTTCCCGTTCTTACCAGTGGTACTAGAAGCCCAGGGGGTGGTATCCTCCTTGGTGCTGGGACTAAAGCCCCCCAGGATGGCAGCAGATGTGGGCGACAGAGCTGCCACTGAGGTCTCCCCAGAGAACTTCTCGGAGACACGGGTGACAGCTGTGACTGGCTGGTGGGGCAACTGCAAGGGGAGGCTTACAGGGCGAGGCTTGGGGGGCTCCGGTGCTGAGGTCTGGGCACCCTCAGTGGGGCCATCGCCTGGACCTGGAATGTGTGACCAGGAGAGGTGGGTCAACTGTGGGGGCTGCCGGAACCTCAGACACACCACCCAGGAGGTTCCAGCTCCCCTGAGCCCTCCTCTTCCAGGAAGACCTGACTGTTCAGCTCCTGACCTCCCTTACAGGGGACATCCTGCTGCTCTGACCAGAGGCAATGCCTAATTTCCCCTCAGCAAGTGCCACAGATACCAGCTGGCTTATCAGTCCACTCACTACTCTAGCTAATGTTTGGACACTTCCTCAGCCCCTGCTTACTTTCCTCCAGAAACAGGTAGGCTCACTACCTCCTAAAAGCTCCGATTCCCTTTTGTGTAAAAAGTTCTGCTATACACTGAGGCCACAATCCTGGAATTCTCTCTGCCTGCTTGCTGGGGACCAGACTCACACCCACCCTTAGCAAGGGACAGCTGACACAAATGCCTGGCTGAGGCTCTGACCCCCAAACCCTCCCAAATTCCTCTCTCTGCCCTCTGCCCCTACCTGGCTGATGTCCATTCTCAACGATGCCTGAGTTTGAAGTTCGTCTCATCTCAGGCTCACTGGCTTCATCGTGATCCACACTCTGTAGAGACACAGATACTCCTGAGGTCCCATCAACAGGGACCAGCTGCCACCCCAAAAGCACCTCCTAAAGTCCATTCTGGGTCAGGAGGGTAACCTCTGAGGGGGTACAGTCCCCAAGGGGTGTAATGGTAAGCTAAAGTCAAGAGCAAGTTGGGATAAACTCACCCGGCCACAGAGCCTCACATACTGAAAGGCCAACACCTCTCCTGGGCTCATCCCAGAGCCCAAAAAAGCTGAGGACAAAGGCCAAGGTTGAGCAGTATGTCAGGTGGCCCCCTCCTTCTCCCCCAAGACCCAGCAGATGATGACTGGAGAGCCTGGCCCATTCCTCCCAGCTGGGCCAGGCTGGCACGGCTGCCCACATAGGCGCAGCAGGTACTGGAATGCACAAGGTCTTCGGAACAAAGGGTGGGCAATAGAGCCCCTTACACAGACACCACACAGGGACAGTCTTCCCAGGTAGACAACGCCCTCATGGCTCCAGGCCACCTCTCTATTCCCCTGGGCTGCAGCAGAGGGTGGGGCCAGCAGAAGGCAGACAGAGAGCAGAGACCCAGAGGGCGGGGCCCTGGCTAAGCTGCCGGGTGATGTCATGTTCCCTTTGGGTCTAATTTTGAAAAACAGGAGAAAGCTACATAAATGCCATCTGGATATCACCACACGCATGGCCCATTTCACAGGTGGGACTCTAGGACTCAGCAAGGGGACATACACTGTCCAGGGCTGTACAATGAAACTCAGTCGGGAATGTTGTAAGCTCACCCTAGGTCCTGCTTCCTCCCAGTGAGGTGTATCAGGCTCAGAGTGTTACTGGGGCTGGGGTACTGGCCTGGCAAAAAGAGACAACAGCAGACCTCAACCAGGGACTCTACCAAGAGGCCATACCAGGTAACCTGAGGGATTGGCCTCTCTGCTCCCTACCGGTCTCCAGTCTGGTGCCCTGCTCTGCAAGCTTCCCAGCCCCAGATGGCTCAGGTCCTTTGTAACCAGTGCTGCAGGTGGCCACCCTGCCAGGAGAGAATGAGGCTGGCAGGTGAGCAGACGGTGCAAGCCAGCATGAAGGTACCCAAGACAGATTTCACCCAAGGGCCAGGGAGGGCCTCCTAAGGGTGAGGGTGCCTCAGCCTAGTCCAGAGTGAGCCAGGTGCATGAACAGAGGAGGCCACAGCAGTAGCATGATTGGCGACTGCAAAATCAAAGAGGCATCAAGGTCCAGGCATTCCGATGCCACATCACCCTGAAGCCCAAGCTACCAACCCAGAGTACTCGGACTTGACTTCTCAGGTAAGAAGGAGCCAAAAGTGTGTTCTAGGGACATCTTTTAGATGCCAGTGTTTCTCACATGGCATGAGAAGGGGACACCAGATGACCAGTCAACTCCATCGTCCCAGGCAGGGACAATGTGGGAAGTGACTTGGGAGCAGGACTCAGAGCTTTGGGAAAAAAGGGGTCCACTTGGAAAGAGTGAGTGGATGTGGTGCCACTTCCAGCGACTTACACCCAAGTGACTAAGGAGGTTTTGAGGGGAGGGCAAGGATTTCTGTCTTGGACAAGATGGGTGTCCCTGGGACATCAGTGAGCTGAGGAGGCAGCTGGAAATCTGAGTCCAAAATATAAAAGAAAGGAAGGCTGAACAATGGGGAAAGAGCAGTCGTCACATTCACAGGCTCTGGGAGCCCTGCAGAGGAAGAGCATAGCGCTGGTGGGGACCTGGGCAACCCTTCTTGGAAGCAGATGAGGTGAGACGTGTCTGTAACAGAGAAGAGAACAGACAGCCAGGGAGGAAGGAAAAAATGCAATGGGATGCTGAGAAGCCAGGAGGGAAGTCAACTGAGGCAGAGTGCCCAGGGCAGCCTGGGTCAAGGAAAAGGGGTCAAGGTGAGATGGAAATCACACCCATCGCATTTCACCAAAAAGATGTCACCAGTGAGGGTTGTAAAGATGGAATCAGGGGGCTGGGGATTTAGCTCAGCGGCATAAGCGCCTGCCTGGCAAGCAGGCGGTCGTGAGTTCGATCCCTGGTACCGATAAAAAGGAAAAAGACAAAAAAAAAAAAAGATGGAATCAGAAGGCATGCTGGAGGGCAGCAGACAGCTTGGGATGAAGCTGAGGGGAAGGGAGGCGGAATGGGCTGCAGGGTATTTCTCAGGTATCCAGACCCTGGCCAAGGAGGGGAACCACAGGAAGAAGTTTGAGGGATTTTTCCAGGTGGAAGAGGCAGGACCACTTGACAGGTTGCAAGAAACTGTCTGGAAACTCGAGGTGCTCTCTGTAGGGTGAGACCCTGGGGAGGTGACAGACAACAGAAGCCAGAGTCTGAACACAGCCTGGCCCTGGGGAGGAGGCAACTCCTCCACTTCCAATTCAGGAGGGTGAAGAAGAAAGGCCATACCCCTCTGGAGGACCACTGGAGAAAGGCAGGGATGAGCCAGTGCTCCAAGCAGGAAGGTGCTCCCAGAAACATAAAGCCAATCAGCAAAGGGAGAGAACCAGCCAGTCCGGATGGAGCCCCCTCCTCCATTGTCACCCAGGCCCGGTCAGCTTTGGGGTCTCCATTTCCACCCTGCCCTGCTCTGGCCAAACAGGTTCCACAGGTCCAGGCAGGGGCCTGGAGGAAAAGGTTAATGGTGAAGTCATTTTCCCAGGAATGTAGGTCTTGGGGGGGGGGGGGGTTTTCAAATGCTTGTCCCTGAATGCTGCATTGTATGCCCTGCACCCCCAAGAGACCCCCCAAAGACAAAACAGGAAACAGATTCTGCAATTCTCCAGTAGTTGAATTCCTGCAAAGAGGTCTCCAACACAGGGCACAGAGAAAGAACCTGGGCTAATGCATCTGGGAAGACCACAGCCACAGGGGTGGAGTCTGGACCCTTATTCCCTGCCTCCTACCCAGGCCAATTCCAAAATTCAGCCACTCCTCGCCTGCCCATGTCTCAGACCAAATGGCTGTCCTTGGACTTCCCATCACACAAATGGGGAAACCGACCTAGAGAGGGCCAGCCACTAAGGGGAGGTAGGGACCACATCCAGACCTGGGCCTAGTGTCTCCCCTGAAGGCAGCACTCCATCCGCAAAGTGCTCTGGGCTTCCAGAGGGCAGAGAGGACGACACAAGACCAACTTGTGTCTGGGTCAGGGTCAGCCCTGGCCCCACGGGCCCACTAGCCAGAAAACTGGAAGAGGAAAAGGCAGCCTCCCAGGGTCTTCACAGAACTCAAGCACCAACACCAAAGGGCCAAGCACGGCTGGGTTAGGGCCACGGGACTAAGTCTGTTCCTGGGACCTCTGTCTTCTTTGTGTGGGAGTAATCTACCCTAGTCTTAAGTAGGGGAAGATCCTCTGTGTGCCTGGGCCAGGGCAGAAGTCACTGCAGAGCCCTGGGACTGGAGACAGGTCCTACTGAGCTGCCCAGCACCCCATGTCACTCTTTTGGGAGGGGGAGGTGTGTTGTGAGGAAGCCCAGGCCTGGAAACTCAGGAGGAGAGGCAGAGAGAGATAAATCCAATTTCAGTGACTCTGAGAGACAGACCCCCTTACTGGGGGTATTTTTTAAACATCTTGCAGGACAAAAAATAGTATTTCAGGTCTTCTCAGCGCTGCCTGATCCACGTGGGCTCATGCGTGGGCATAGGAGCCCACACAGGTGCCCAGGCCAGCCCACACCAGCAGGACCCCATGCTGAGCCCATTAACCCTGCTGCCCCCACCCACCTCCACTGGCACCACAGTTTTGAAGCACTCAGCTCAGACTTCTCCCTAAAGCATTAAACTCCCTTATCACACACTGCCTCTGGGAAGGAAGGCAGATAAGGGAGTCTGCTTTCCTTCATGGTCAGGCCTCTGACACCCGGCTCCTGGCACTTGTTCCTATGAGACTGTGCTACTTTGACCATGGGGACCCAGTGGCTCCAGCTTAACTGAGGAAGACATTTCCAGGAAACAACTCTGGGCCAGCCTCCTGGGACCTGGGCCTGGCCTCAAGCTGTCATCATCTACACTGGACCCCCAGTGGGCTCCCAGCTCCCTACTTTTGGCCGGACAACAGCGGTGGCTCCTGAGACAGTTCTGTTAACCAGCTCTACTGGGGTCCAGTTATCTTGCTTTCTTAACACCGGGTCTACCTATAGAGAAACTGAGGCCCAACTGGAAGGGGGGGCCCCCAAAGCCTCAGAGCCCCAGAAGTACCTCCTGTTTGCTTCAGGGTCTCTGGCTTCCTGAAGCGAGCCCACCGTGATCACTCCCACCACAGTACCCTCTCATCCTCCCGTTTTCTTGCCCATTTCCCTGTTGCCCAGCCCCTGTCCATCCATGCTATACCAAACTCAAGGTTTGTGCACTCAGAAGTATATTAATGCCAGGTGTGATGGTGCATGCCTATAATCCCAGCACTTAGAAGGCTGAGGCAGGAGGATTGCTGCAGGTTAAAGGCCAGCCTGAACTTCAAAGACAGAGGACAAAAGACAGAGGGAAAAGACAGGAAAAAAAAAAATGTAGACTACCTGACGAACCCCTACACTGATTCAAGGCAGGTTGGTACAACCTGCCTCCAACTCCTACACGCCCCGGAGGGTTTCTAATTCTTACAACTCATTTAAGAAGGACAGTTTAACACCAGCCTCCACCAGTTCTGATCACAAACCAAGTAGTACAACCACCTCTGGCTCCTGTGCATGGGATGAGACCCTCACCAAGGACAACCAGCAGCCCAGCACTCAGCTGTAACTCTGTCCACTGACCACACTCATTTATCATTGTTGTGGTTATTTTTGTTTGGTTATTTTGAGTTAAGAGTCTCACTATGTAGTTCAGACTGGCCTCAAACTCACGTAATCCTCCTTTCTCACCCTCCCGAGTGCTAGGATTACAGGTGTGTGCCGACTCCCAGCCCACACTCCAGTTTTTCCCCGAAGCCCTGAGCTCTTGTTCATGATCAGGCACCTGATCACAGGCCACTTGCTGGTCACAGTGTGCAAGCTGGAATGTGTACACGCTCTGTACGGCCCCCCACACCACCAGAAACTGGGCAGGCACCTCTGAGAAGGTGAGCTGCAAGAGAACTGAGACTGTACTTTTTGGGTCAGACACAGGGCAAGGGAGCCAAGGCTCCAGGGCTGTGCAGCCTCTGGCCCAGCTGGACACCGGCCATCCTCCACCTTCTATGTTTGGCTACACTTGCTGATAACTTTCCTGGGTCCTTTCTGAAGTCAATAACCTACCCCCCAGTGGGGTCTCCATCCTCAACCCCAACAGGCTGCAGCATCTCTCTTCTTCCAGGGGTTTCACAGCCTCACCCGCAAACCCCACAGTCACCTCACTCTCAGCGTGTCCTGCCCAGATCAGTGACCCAGTAGTCTCCTGAGGCAGGGTTCTTCTCTGCCTCCATCCTCACGTCCAAGGACTGTCTGGCCTGCTGGGTCCCCTGTGAAGTCCCCATCCAAGCGGCGCCATCCACACACCACTGGCCCAGCTCAGACCCATCGTGTCTCCTTGGACCATGAGGATCAAGTTGTTCATCTCCAGATCCTAACCCTACCCCTAATCATAACCCTAACATCCATTCACCCTCCAACCACCAGCCAGCACAGAAGGAGCCTGCCACCTACAAGGAGAACCATCTCTCCCCTTGCCAGCTTTCCTGACCCACCACCCCACTAACCAAGAGGGGTAGCTTGGCCTTGGTAAATAATGCTAAATTCCCACTGAAAAGTCATGGGAAGAACTGTTCATATATATACATATATGTGAATATATGATTTTTCTGAATTTTTTTCTTAAAACTTGGACAGCTGCTTCTATGAGCAGACGAGTAGCAAAGGCAAGCTAAAACTTCAGAAATGACCAATGATACAGTTTATTGTGAACCCATGGTGGTGATTTTACACCAGGGACACTCAGACTGTCATGCTCGTGGGATGGATTTAATTACTCATGCCCATATTTCCTGACATTTCATACAGAGCGCTGTGACACCCAAGGTCCGCCCCTAAGACAAAACTCAACTCCTCTGCCCACATCGTGGAGGCCTTCACAACTCACACAGCTGAGGGTTCCACCCCGCCAGTATTTTCAGTCTTCCCACCCACGCCGACCTGCGCCAGCAGCAGCAGTCCTAGGCATCTAGCACAAAGCCTCCTGGATGGATACCCACTTCAAGATGACTATTGCGTTTGGAGCAGAACCTCTCTGGCTGCTGATACTGTTGCAGAGCTCAGTTTGCGACTACCTCCACCCTGGTTGGGCCCTGTAGAGGAAAGGCCGCCTCCAGACACCCTGAGGCGCAGCTTAAGTGCACAGCAGGAGACCTCGGCAGCGCGTGAGAGATCGCATGGAGGAGGGGCAGCAGGTGTGGACCCCAGGAAACCCAACCCCAGAGTGCACGGTTGGTCAGGATGGAAAATCCCACCTAAGGGCCACTGAACACACCATGGAAACCTTCCACCCAGGACCTGTCACTCCAGGAGGCCCAGGATCAAGGTAGGACCAGTACACACCAGTCTCTGGCCAATCACTGACTCCCGGAATCTACACACGGCTCTGCTGGTTCCTCTTTTCTCCTTCACGGCAAGGGATTTGCCCTCTGTGATGCTGATTCCCAAACACAGCTGCTGAGCAGCCCCAACCAGATTGCAAAACACACACACACACACACACACACACACACACACACACACACACTGGCTTGAATTCTCGGTCTGGCTTAATTTATAACCTGAGTGGTCAGGCATCAATGAACAGCAACACGGGGCACGTGAATGGAGGCTGAGGTGGCGGATAGAGGGTGCTGACCATTTCGACAACAGTTGTGGCCCCGGGCCGTCCTGCACTGTCAGAAGCTATGTACCGCTCAAGCTGTTAGTGTGATGGGGCTGCGGGTAGGATAAACTCAGGGCACACAGGTCTGGCTCCAAAGAAGTAAGGGGATGGGAGGCAGGTGTAACGGACTGGTTGAGCAGTGTTCCTGACCTTTCCAACTCTAGATGGACGACAGGACCCCGGACTACCAAGTAAGTCCCGACGGCAGGTGGAGGCAGAGCCGAAAGACCTCCGGAGCGCACGCGCTCAAAACTGCCGGCGGCTCGAGAAGCCGAACCCCACTCCCCCTGCGCAAGCGCACATGCGCCCAAGCCGGTGCGCCGCTGTCCCCCAGGCTCACCTGGCTGCGGCCAGACAGCGAGAAGGTGGCATGGCTGGAAAAGCGTGCGGTGCCCAAGCGGGGCGCGCGGTTCGGAACCCCGGGCACGGGTGGGGGACTGGGCGTGTCGGGCACGGGGGACAGCCCTGTCGCCAAGCCCAGCGCCTCCACCTGGCGAGTCAAGCGCTCGAGCTGCGCCTGCAGCCGCTGATTGTCGCGCTGCAGGTCGGCCACGGTGCGCGCCAGGGGGCCCGCCAGGTTCAGCGCCTCGGCCACGCGCCGCTCCACTCCGCGCTGCAGCCCCTGCATATCCTCGTGCAGCGCGCGCACTGCGCCCTCCAGCGCCGCCTCGTAGCGGCCCAGCGCCTCGCGCACAGTGCGCGCCTCCTCGGCGTCCAGGGTTGGCTCCATAGCCGGCGGGTGCACAGTCCTGCAAGCCGGCGCTGGACGAGTAAGGACCCAGGCTCCGCAGCTCTGTGCAGCTACTGGTGGTCCGCCGCGGGATTAACCCGGGCCGGCCGGAGGGGCGGGCGCAGGGCGGGGCGGCCCCCGGCCCAGGCAATGGCCGGCGCGCGGGGGCGGGTCAGGGAGGCGGGGCTTCCCTCCCGGGACACCCAGCCTCTGGCGACCTGTGTGCTGATGTGGGATGCGGACCCCAGGCGCGGATGGAGAGCGCTGCGGCCTTTCCTCTTCCGGGCCGCAGAGGCTTGGAGGAAGTGTCGAGTTCTAGCCCGGCTAGATCCTTAAGGAGCGACGTGTGGCTTTGGGGAGGGGCGCAGACCCACCGGAAGAAGGAGCTAGCAGTTAAGTGGACAATATTGAGAGCTGTGCCTAACTTCTGGGCTCTCGCTTGAGGGATCAGGAGGATTCCGTGGGGCCTCAGGACGCCTCCTCAGCTCAGGGAGCCCCGAGAGCAGCAGCGGCGGCAGCAGGGGCAGCAGCCCTCAGCACTGCAGTCCTGACCCTCGCCCCGTGCCTGTCACCACTTGGTTCTCGCATGCTTGTACTCACCTGTGGGACTTTCGCCTAGAAGTTCTTGCACCTGTTAGAAAAACCTCAGAGAGAAGACAGGTGGTGAAGTCTCCGCTTGTTCTCTGCAACTGCTACACACACACACACACACACACACACACGCACGCACGCACGCACTCCCACCTACTCTGTAGCAAAATTTTACACTCTTCTCACTAGTGTAAGGGCTCCAGGCTCAAACATGGGCCCCTGCTAGGGCATCAAGGCAAGGCCAAGGGCAGACAAGGAGTGACTGAGTGGAACCTTCAAATCCTGCCTTGGGCAGGTTCGGGGCTAATCTCCTGCCACACACACACACACCGGCAGCAGCTCGGTTACTGGCCTCTACCCACACATTCCTTTCTTTTTATCCTCTATTCCTCTCTTTCCTGATCCTAGATAGTCCTCCCCGCTTCCAAATCCAAGCACAAAAATTGACCATCACAAGAAAAAGGAAAGATGGAATCAGTTGCTGCCTTAGGATGATGGGTTAAAGGAAACTGTAAAACTCACTTAAAAATGAAGATATCTCACCCTTTGTGCAAACACTTTCCTAATTGGCCTTCCCTTTCCCAGGCGTGGCCCCCATGAAGAAGGCTGGACACTGAGCAGGCACAGCCAGATGGCTCGAAGGAAGGAGAAGTTGAAAGGCTTCTTCCTCTCCTAGCCTGGCCTTCTCTGGCCCAAAAGAGCTGGAACCTCAGGAGCAGCCTAACCACTGATCACTACCCCCTCCCCAAGTGTTCCTCCCCCAAGGAAGGAACAGTGGTTTACCTAATCTAAGGAGCCTTCCAGCAATTCTTTCATGAGAAAGCCAATTGCCAGAAGGCGTGCATGTTGCATGTGTATGTGAGTGTGTGTGTGTGTGTTCTAAGTAGCGGCTGGACAGAATAAGCCGAACCACTCCCCGAATTCTTTCTCCGGGTGGAATCCTTGATAGAGACTTTGGGAGCTGCTGCTACAGCAGCTCTTGCTTGGCAGTGCTTATAGCCCCTACAGATCTGAGCATTGGAGCTTGGAGTTCAAAAATCCTGGCCACAGCCAGGCAAGCCCACTCCCTTCCCCTGCAGGATCCAAGTACAGAAGGAATGGCTTGGAAGGGCTTGGACAGGCCAGTTCTTGGTCAGCTATTGTGCACTCAGGCGAGTACTTATACCAGCAGCACAAACATGGGGTGGAGGGTGAGCAAGGGTTCAAAGCCTTTTCCCTGTCCTCAAGGAGAACTGGGCTCCATCTGTGGGACAGAAACCCTACCAGAAGGAGGAGGTAACAGACTGTAGAGGTCTCCAATCTCCAGCCTCAGGTGAGTTATCTGGTTTCTCCTGGCCCACCCTGAGAATACCTAAGGGAGCCGTTTGGAGAGTGGGCAGGATTCTTTCTGGGGCTGAAGGAGGGACCCTGTCAAGGGCAGAGACTGAGGCTCGCTGTGAGTTCTGGGAAGGCGGATGATACAAGATTCAAACCATCCCACTGGACCACGGAGTTGGTAGCTGAGAGCAAGCCTAGGAAAGGAAACAACCAGAGGGGAGGGGGGGAGGGAGTAAGGGGGAATTTTGGAAAGGGTGAGAAGGCGTCACCCCATGGGCTAGCTCCAAGACAGAGGGAGCGGTAGCTCTGCCCTGCCCCTCACCCCTCCCCAACTTTCCTCCAACTCAGCTCCTGCCTGTCTGGACTGTAAGAGAGGTGAGGGAGGTGCTGGCTGATGGGCCTGGCTGAATTCCCTCTGCATTCACCAGCCCTGATGTCAACAAGCGAGCAGAGGCACCCTCCCACCAACTCAGGGACTCTGATGCCTGCCCTTCCAGCTTCCCCTCACCCCGCTCTGACCTAGCTGCTGCCTGCAGGTTCCTGGTTCATCTCAGGTTCTAGGCTCCAAGCAGGAAATAGATAAAATTTCCCAAGTCCCCCTGCCAGTCACCTCACAAAACCAAATTCCTGCCAGGCAAAAACCACAAAGTTGGGAAAGTTAAAGACATAGACCTGACAGGGAAACTGAGGTCCAGAGTGTGCAGGGACCGGCCCACGGGCACCCAGCAACACATGCAAAGACATGACCAAAACCCAGGTTTCTGCCCAGGCTGTGGTTCCTCCTTTCCCCACACAGTAGTCCCAGCTCTCCAATTAGGGCAGCAGTAATAGATTCGCCATTTCTGAGCAGTTCCCTGTCCTCCCAGCCTAACTGGAAGCTCGGCTCAGCTCCCTGCTCCTCAGAGGTCTCCTGCCTCGCACCACTCCCCCATCCTCTGCACCCCAGATCCACACGTCGGGGGCAAGGATTACATACTTGCATGCCTGCCTCCATGCCATCCACAGAAAGTGGAGCTGCCATCCCAGCCATCAGTCACCCCCACACCTGCTGTGAAACTGACTTAAGTAATGTTCCAAAACTGTTGGGTGACTGGATGTCTGGGAAGAGGGGGCACCCATAGGACTGGGTGAACCATGGAAGATACCGGAGGCCAAGAGGCAAGGACGGCTCTGAAATTCTGGCTTGGGAATACTAGGATGTCACTCACGCAAACAAATCACAGAGAAGGGAACTATGAGCTGTGGGGGCTCAAAGGCAACTGCTGATCTTATGGTTCCTCCAAGCCCTGCTGCTGGGAAGGACTCAGATTGGAGTGTCACGGGCCGGGGTGAGTGCGTGATCTGCCAGGTCATGACTGGCCCTGCCACTCTCCATGGAGCCTCAGTTTGCTGGGGCAGCTAATAGGACTGACAGACTTCACAATTGGAAAGATCTACACAATCAGCGGTGCCCTGTGCCTCCTTGTCTGCAGCTGCAGCTGTCCAGAGGCGGCCTGTGCTTGAAGTACACAGCCTTGAGCACAAGGCCTCAGCAGGCAAGCACACTCCGCCAGCCCTGCCAAGCATACCACCCCGCTCCTCCTCCCAAATCCTGAAATCCAGCCGCTGGCCCTGGAGATTACCGCCTCCTTAGAAGACCCATGGGGTGGAGACCCAGGGTTTCCAGTTATCTTTTCCTGCCAGGTTTCTGGCTGCAGGAGCAAAGCGAGATAAGAAGGGAGGTAGAAGAGGTGGTAGAGGTTACACAGGAGCCATTCTAGGAGGCCCGTGTGGACAGGTCCTGGAGTCTTTAAGTCTCATCTATCTCCAGCCAAAACTCAGGGGACACCCAGAAAAGATCTGTGGGTCTCTGTGCTCTTCCCCTCAGCTTTGCCTGCTTAACACAGAGTCACAGGGGCCTGGAACCCCCAGCAAGTCCGGAAGAAATTCCTGTCCCCTGAGGACACCAACTCCGCCACCACACCCTCCAAGCTCTGCTCTTTCTCTCTGGAGGACACGACCTGACACTTTGTACATTCTTCAAAGAGAATTTGCCCTCAGTCTCTAGGGATCCAGGAAGGGATTCTGGGGCAGAACAAGTCCCGCCTGGGTATAGCCCCACAGCTTCCATGTAAGCTCTGGGCCCCCAGAAACCTGCCCAGAGACAGGAAGAAAGAGAATAGGCCTTCCTCCTGTAATACAGGCCCAGAATGCACACTGTTCTCTTTCCCCCATGTGTCTGAGGGGTGTCTGCACGTGCACCACACTTTCCCCCATGTGTCTGAGGGGTGTCTGCATGTGCACCACACTTACACATGCATGTGAGTGTCTGGGTGGAAGAAAGAAGTGATAGTTAAGCAGCCTGCCATCTGTGCACAGACCTGCACACGTGTGGTGCTTTGATGTGTGCACGTGTGTTACACATCCACATGTAATGGAGGGATTTTTAATGTATTTGCTCTTAGGTGATGATGTGCATTTATAGCACACATTTGCAGACATCAGGAAGCATCTACACTGCTGGCACTGCCCACAAGCTTGTGTAAATGTGCCAGGGGTACACACATAGGTTTATATATATTAAATATTTGCATGCATATTGTTGTGTGAGAGTTTGGACATATGTATTTCATCCCCCATTTCTGGCGGATTAGCCAAAGCTAGACGTGCCTCTGGAAAGTAGAAACTCTGGATGCTGTTGGGTCTGCTCTGCAGAGATTTCTGCACATTAGATTCTAATGAGAGCCTTCCTATCATTAGAGGGAGAAATAGAGGAAGCTTCCGGCCCTCCTGGGTCCATGTGAGGCCCTCCTGATGCCAGTGAGGAGAAATTTCCTACAGGCCCCTGCCCGGAGTACAAACATTACCCATTCATGTAGAGGGGCCTGTGCCCCCCCCACCCCCACCAGGGTAGGGCTGCGCAGGGAGAGGTGTGGAGAGGCTGCTTCCAGCCCAGATAAGGCTGCTGGGCTCACACTTTCCATTTCCAGGACCCTCCCCTTTGGGTCCCAGCCCCTAATCTCTAACTCCCCTGGCGCACCCAGGTTTCTGCACTGACTCATCCCAACACCCCCCCCCCAACCCTGAGGACCAAAGAGCCAGGAGGGAGACTGAAGGACAGGGAGAACAAGCACCTGTCTAAGACCTCGGCCAGCAGAGCAGAGCAAGCACCCCACCTGAATTTGCCCTCAGTCTCTGGGGATCCAGGAAGGGATTCTGGGGCAGAACAAGCCCAGCCTGGGTAGCCCCACAGCTTCCACGCAAGCTCTGGGCCTCCAGAAACCTGCCCAGAGACAGGAAGAAAGAGAATAGGCCTTCCTCCTGTAATACAGCCCCAGAATGCACACTGCTCTCCAGTCCAGTCCAGCTTCCCAGCCCAGAGGACCCTGGACCCAAGGGCAAGCCACCATTATTTGGGAAATGAACTGGGTTTCAAACCTTGGCCTCCTCCTCTCTTCTGTTCCTCCCCTTCCCCTCCACAGCATCCCACCAAAAGGCCTGGGCCTGCTCCCCCGCCCAGAGAAGGGGCTGGGGGAAGGATTATTTATAGGGCCTGGCTCAGTAGCTTCCAGGACAAGAGGAGCCAGAGCTCCAGGTTATGGCTTACCAGGCCTTCCCCAGGGGCCCCACAGGACGGGCAGTGTCCGCTTTCAGCCCAGCAAAAGGCTGTGTCAGTCAGAGTGGGAAGTGGGGGTGGGGAGGCCAGGTCAAAGAAAGGGGCAGCACGGAGGCCTGAGCTGGGGCCATCTGGACCCTTTGCAGAGCTAAACCTTCTTAGAAGCCTTTTGGAGACTGACTGGGGCTGGGGGCTTGGGAGGGAGATCTCAGGGTACATAGTCCCGCTTAGGGAGGTCTGGAGATGTCACCAGGAGGCCACCTTGCCTTCAAGCACTGACTGAACTGTCCCAGCTGAGTCCCTTTCCGCTGACCTCAGGCTCCCTCTGCAATGCCTTAGGAGGCCATTCGAGGCCCTTCCCGGCCAGGCCTCTCCCCTGGCCAGCTACATCTCTCAGCAGACACAAACCTCCATACCTGGAGACTGTGCCTGCACTATCACCCTGCCAGAAGCATCCATTCCACTGCCAAACTGTCAGATCCTCAGCTTCCAACCTCCTTCCTCTGGGAAGACTCCCCACTTCCGCTAACTCCACGACTCATCCTTTCCTTCTGTCCCCTTCTTCTAGGGAAGGCCCCACTGGGTCTCAGGTTAGAGAGTGGCTGTGTGGCTGCCCCCCTCCTCAGGCTAGGGGCTCCCCAAGGGCAGGACCCTGCCTCCTCTATTTTTTCTGTCCCCTCTGCTCAGCCACCTGTCTCCATCAGCCAGTGTTTGTTGGGAAGGGGAGGGAAGAAAGGAGGGAAGGAGGCAAGGAGGGAAGGAGGGAAGGGGTAAATGAACAGTGAACAGGTAACTGAGAATATAGGAGGCAAAGAAAGCAGGAAAGACCCTTTCTATGTCTCCTGACCTCAGGGTGACGTCTTGGTGCCCCAGTGGGCGGGAAGGCAGCAAGGGCAGGCCACGCCAGGTCTCAGTGACATGGCTGGGCCCTGGGCAGCAGCCAGATCGGTCACTCTCATTCTTTCCAGATCAAAGTTCCCCCAGGGAACAGCCCGGAACCTGACACTGGCATGGAGGGTGGTTCGGGGAGGGCTGGCCCCATGCAGGGGGAGGGCATAGAGAGGCCAGGCACCTGTCCCCTGCTTCAGGGACACAAGAGCTTGAGGCCAGGGTGGGGGTGCTGGACACACATGCGCTCACCTACACTAGCCCCACCCCAGGTCACACTGGTAGGGGTCAGTCCTTGGCTCTAGGTCATCCTGAACCAAATTCCTTGAAGACTTCAAGTCCCCAGGGCTGAGCTCCTTGCTGCTCCTGTGTCAGTCTTGAGCCACTCTGGCCCTGTCCCCCTGTCCTCACAGAGCCGCTCTGGGCACCTCATTCTCCATCTCGAGTCTCCGTCTCCTCTTTTGCCCCTGCCCGTCTCGGCTCTCCATAGTTCTACGTTTCTCTGAATTCTTTGTTTCCCCGTGGGCAGTTGCGTCTCCCCTTTCTCTCTGCCCATCTCCGTGTTTCTCGGCAAGAAGAGTAAGTGGCATTATAGCCTCTTGTCTGAAGGCAGAACTGTTCATGCACCCCCTCCTCTGCAGGCCCCAGACCTGCAGTCTGCTGTGAAGGTGGTGGGACGTGAGCAGGAGGCCGCCGCAGGCTCCTTCCATCCCTCGGCGCTGTGCCTGGATCAGGCAGAGAGGACAAGACGGAGCTGGTCGGAGGCGAGTAACTCCCCCTTCCACCTATGGAAGATGGCGCACCCACCCTGTGTGCCAGCTAGCAGGTGCCCAGGTACACACAGGACATAGAGGACTCAGAATCCACCACGCTTTGCCATTCTGTGTCTCAGCATTTTCATCTGTGAAAATGGGGAACTCAGCAACAGTACCTGCTTCCCAGGATTGTTAGGAAGATCAAATTAGTTCATGTTTAAGTCCTTTGCAAACAAAGGCCCCTGTGTCTTGCTCACAGTGATTTTAAACCAAGTCATTCCGGTCTCTTATCCACAGTCTCACTTTCTGAGGTTTCACTTAACCACAGTAAAAGAGGAAAAGAGGTACAGTACCGTAAGGTGTGAGAGAGACAGAGACAGAGATAGAGATAGAAACAGAGACAGAGACAGAGACATAGAGACAAGGAGACAGAGACATAGAGACAAGGAGACAGAGACAGAGAGAGACAGACAGAGAGAGACAGAGAGACAGACAGAGAGACAGAAACAGAGACAAGGAGACAGAAACAGAGACAGAGAGAGAGACAGAGAGACAGAGACAGAAAAAAACAGAGACAGACAGAGAGACGAGACAGACAGAGACAGAGAGACAGAGAAAGGATTTCACATAAGAATTATTACAGTATTTTGTTATTGTTATTGTTGTTGTTAATCTCCTACTGTGCCTAATTTACAAATTAGACTTTATCACAGGTATGCCTGTACATGTATATGTATATCTGGGGAAACTACAGCACATAGAGAACTCAGTACTATCTGAAGTTCAGCTACTCATCGGAAGTCAGTGGAACACATACCCCACAGATAAGGACAGACTACTGTACACTTGTATAAGACAAGTGTGGGATGTCGCTCACCTGTAGAGTATTTGCTTAGCGTGCTGAGGGCCTGTGTTCGATCCCTAGCACTGGAAGAGCTGTTTTCCCTTGATCCTGTTGCCAGGCTGAGCTAGACTCTAGTCCCCAGCAGGCCTAAACAAGCTTGAAGTGAGCAGCTGCAGACCACACTGAACAAGAACACACTGCTCTGGGGTCTGTGCATTTTTACAGAGCAACATTAGCTGACAGAAGCTGGACCACAAACAGAGAAAATCACGTTCCTTCTGGTTAAAGATGATCGAACCAGTATCCTGCTCCAAGCACAGATACATGGTATTTTTAAAAGCTGATTATCATAAAACTATGGTTAGTAGCAGGAGCAAGACTTCTTAAAAGGAGACACAACCCCTGGGGAACAGAAGTCAGGCTGTATCTGGGAACTGGGAAGAGACCCAGGGCCTGAGCCTGGCTGGCACCGAGAGCTATGCCGCCCATTGGTGAGCATAAACCAAGCAGCCCCATCTGCTCTCCAAGGTCACAGCAAAAACCAAGCCACATGCTTGTGGCTGAGTCCTGAACAGAGCCATCAGCCACAGAGGAACTGGCTCGGAAACATACTCACATGAGGTGGAGACATTAGCAGACACCGCGGGGAAGCCCCAGTCAGCAGCTCAACCAAACACACACCAAGCTGGCCCGCTAGCAGGTGGCCCTGGGTCTTTTTAGAATTCCCAGATAACCTCAAACCCAAGAATCAGGACACTGAGAGAGACCAGCACCATAAAAGCAAGCAAACTCTGCCAACAGAAGAACCGAAGGCTGAGAAAAGAAGTCTTAGGGCAATTCAAAAAACATGTGAAAGCATCTTTAAAGTCCTCGAAGAAATACAAAGGTGATAACAGCATCAAAACAAGAAAAAGAGGTCACGAAACAAGAACAGAAAAAATCTTAAAGATTGCATTAGAAGTCTGGAGGGTCAAAATTACAGTCAAAAGGCCGGGGGTTTAGCTAAGCAGTGTAAGTGCCTGCTTGGCACACGCAAGGTCATGAGTTTGATCCCGGGCACATAAATAAATGAAATTACAGTAAAAAATAAAACCCCAAACATGAACTGAATATCTAACTGAATACAGCTAGAGAAAAAAATAATGAATTAGAAGTTTGAATTGAGAAAATCTCTGGGAACTCAGCACTAAAAGATCAAGAGAGGGAAATTATGGAGGCCTGGGGGTGTAGAAATAGATCCTGCTACCTATTTCAAGGAGTATAACACTGTTTCTCTCTGATGATGAAGCTCAGTGCAACAGGAAAGACTAAAAAAAGTGACAGCAAATCCAAGTAATAAGTAGGACAGAATGCCATTCACTGGATGTATCCAAATATTCTAAAGAAATTGACTGCCCCACATCTGTCCGTTGCATTTCATTTAATGTCTTGGTCATCAAAAAGCAATGTAGTCTAGGGAGGCCTGGGGGCAATTAGAGTAGCATGTCAGCCCAATTTGTGTGTTTGCCTTCCAACTCAGTCGGTATTTCTAACTATTTTAGCTGGATGTATTTCTATATCCCCAAGCCCCATATTTTCCCTTTCTTGACCCAATTAGTGCTGAGTTCCCAGACACTTTCTCAATTTGAACTTCTAATTCATTACTTCCTTCTCCAGCTGTATTCAGTTAGATATTCAGTTCATGTTTGGGAGTTTTATTTTTTACTGTAATTTTAACTCTCCAGACTTCTAATGGAATTGTTAAGATTTTTTCCTGTTCTTATTTCATGACCTCCCTTTCTTGTTTGGATGCTGTTATCACCTTTGTGTTTCTTTGAGGACTTTAAAGATGCTTTAACATGTTTTCCAATGATGAAAGCTCCCAAAGGAAAAGATGAAGCAATTTCTAAGAAAATACCAGAATTCAAAGTAGAAGACTCTCCACTATTGAATTGCAAAGGCTGGTGCATCTGGATGGGCTCTGCCAGCCAAAAAATATGACCCAACCCAAAGACAACAAGATCATCAGGTGGGAGAGTTTGCCAGGACTGTTCTGTCTGATTAGCCAGAGGTCTCTAAAGACAAAGAGGTAAAATTAAAGAAACTAATTGCCTGTATAGTTTCCAGCATCTTCTTAACAAGGAACCAGTTTCTCAAACACCTTGAAAACATGGTAACTGAAATTAGGACCTCGTGGAGAAAAGCTATAGTAATAGCAGATGACAGAAGAACACAGCCAGCCTAGTGGATACTGAGCAGAGAATTATTGCCGAACGCTTACCTGTGTTGCACAAAGAAAATTTAGCATGGCCAGTTTTTTCGCAGATTTTGACCAGTCTCATCTGCCTGGAGAGAGAGCTGCAATGGACTGCCTCCAGCATGTGCCCCAGGAAGCCAGGTTTCTAAAGCAGGATGGCCCCCAAAAGAAGACCAGTCAGATTTGTTACACAGGAAATAATTCGGAAGCAAGATTTAGAGTTTACCACAGAAACCAACCAGAGACATTTGTCTTCTTCCGCACACAATAGAGTCTATGTAATGCGTACAAGTAAAGGCAAATATATTAACACCTCAGACCAGCTGGGCATAGCGGTGCACACCTGTAATCTCAGCAGTCGGTAAGGAGGCTGAGACAAGAGGATGGCCATGAGCTCAAGGTCAGCCTGAGCTACACAGTGACTTCAAGGCCACCTGCACTACACGAGACCCTGTCCAAAAAAAAAAAAAAGACCACTTACCAGTTCCTTATACTGAAACTTCCATGGGTAACTCTACATGATAGAACTCTTCAAATATCAAGAAAAATTAGTTCTAAAAGGCTTAAGGATATAGATTTTGGCATATTCACGAAACTTCTAGGAGAAGATGGTCACTTGAGTCTTAATAACTCTACTAGTTCAGAGACCAATTTTAAAATTAAATCAAATAGTCCCATACACAGTGGCATTTTTCAGGATGATACTGTTGAAGAAAGATAGACTGCTCTAGAATCAGACTTCAATTTACAGGCTCTCACAGTACTTACAGGACTCTAAAGAAATCTTTTTTCCAAAAAGGAAAGAGCAGCTTGTGGCAAGAGGCTGAGGCAGGAGGATCGCTGTGAGTTTGAGGTCAGCCCTGGCTACAAAAAGAATTCAAAGCTAGCCTGGACTACATAGTGAGACCCTGTCTCACAGAAAAAGGAGGTGGGGGAATCTAACTTCTCTAATCCCGAAACACGTGAAAGACAGAACCAGATTTGAGTCCTACATACCAAACCATGCAAGCAGACATGGTGGGTGCCTCACTTTTGGGGGGTAATTTGCTCATTAATTGTGCAAAGCTATCTTAAGGCAATTCCCTTGGTGATAGAAGATGGTCTCTATCACCACTAATTAAATTTTCTGCAGTGGAAACAAAAATTGAAGAGCACAGTACCATGTCATCTTGGAGAATCATGTAGTTTGGGGGAACATATATATAATTTAAAAGAAGAAGAAATCTCGAATAAGAGCCTTGATACAAAAGAATCTCTGACTAGACAATCATGTAGTACCCATTTAACTTAATTGTGATGCTCTTACATTGAAGCTATATCACAGAACAGAAAATGATTTGTAATTTAGATACATATTAGAAGTGTAATGATGTTTTTCAAAGATATAAAAGATCCTAAATACCAAAAAGAGAGAAAGAAAGAAAGAACTGAGGATTTTCCAGGAATAAAAAAAAATCATAAATTCTTAGATTTACAAAAAATCTCTTTACATGCTAAGCATGATGAATAAATAAACAAAAATCTACTTCTAGTTTCACATTTTACTAAAATTTAAGAGCACCAAGGAATTGTCAGGCATGGTGGTGCACACCTGTAATTCCAGCACTCAGGAGGCTGAAGCAGGAGGATTGCCATGAGTTTGAGGCCAGCCTGGACTACACAGCAGCCTGAGTTACATAGGAGACTTGTCTCAAAAAAAAAAAAAAAAAAAGTTATATTATCTAAAAACAAGACAAAAGATTTGACCTCAGAGTCCTTACTGGCAACAACGGAAGCCAGAATAATATTTAGAGAGAAAGGAAAATGAACTTGAACCTAGAGCTTTATAGATAGCTATATGATCCTTCAAAAGCAAAAGTAAAGGGCTGGAGTTACAGCTCAGCAGCACAAGCGCCTCCCTGGTGAGCACAAGGTCCTGAGTTCAATTCCTGGTACAGGAAGAAAAAGAGTAATAATAGCTTAAATACATTTGCAGACATCACTTCAAAGAAAAAAACACTGAACCTAAAAAGAAGCAGTGATTCAAATAAAGCAATGATAAGCAAATAAATCAGTGAAGCATATTGGAAAGCTAAATACCTACTGACTGTGATCATTAAATTTATGTTTAGTTGCTGCAGAGCATGGGCACTGGGAGGGCAGGCGATGGAGGGCAGCAAGGGCATGTGTACTGGACACTGCTGCTGTCCTGACCACGTGGTCTCGGCTTCACCTCTCACGTCAGCCACAGATCCTGAAGTGCTTCACAACAGGCTTCCACCCTAGGCAGGATCTCAATTTCCTTCTTTTTTTATTTTATGTTATTTTAAAGTGAATAGAACTAAACAAAATAGAACAGAATAGAGCCAATCAAAGCAAAACAGTGAAAGTGATACAGCACTTCAAAACAGGATAATGAAATCAACAATGGCTACCACCATGTGTCTTGTTATCTTCAGAACTGCTGCCCAGGGCCGGGGGTTTAGCTCAATGGCACAGGCACCTGCCTGACAAGTGTAAAGTCGGGAGTTTGATCCCCAGTACCAAAAAAAATTGCTGCCCATACCATCAGACATGATAAAATCAAACAAAACAGAGCAGAATAAAACCTATAAAAACAAAACAAACAATAAAATGGCACAAAAGGGGCTGAGAATTTAACTCAGCAGTGTAAGCGCCTGCCTGGAAAATGTGAGGTTGGCAGTTCGATCTCTGGTACCAAAAAAAACAAAACAAAATAGTAAGAACAACACTAGGATTCAAAAACGACATAGTTGCTATATGGCATATTGTTATCCTCTCTATCGCTGCTAGGACTACCAGCTTTGGCCTGCAAAGTCAGTCACACAGTACAGCATTAAGTTGTCTTTGTACCTCAGTTGCCAATAGCTCAGCCTGTGTTCCTACGAATCACCCGATTGTTTATGGGGCTGGCCGAGGGGGGAGCAGCTTCAGTTTCAATTTCTGCTCCAGGATTTATGGAGTTAATGCAGTCCTCAGGGCACAGGGGGTGGGAGCCAAAGGGTTCTTCAGGTGCACGGTTCTGAGAAGTCTTCTACACGGGCCTCAAAGCTTCCAGCGGAACCGAGTTCCAGTGGCCCACAGTGGAGAGCTAATGACACCTCCTGTTGGCTGTCTTCTCGTCCCCTCTCCCAGCCCTTTCTCTGGCTTCATTCCATTACTTCCCAGGTGAACTTCCTATGTAAAAGATCTGACTCCCACCTTGATTTCAAGAGAATTCTAGGCTAAGACACCCAGGTTCTTCCAGAGAGCCAGAGAGCCATAGTTTAGTTTTACTTACTGACTTGTAATTTACAACCATTTCATGGATTTTACATATATAAGCCTAGAAGTTTCTAGCACGTCCACAGAACCGTACGACCACCACCTAAATTCCAGGACAGTCCCATCGCCCTGCACAGAAACCCTGTACCCACTAGCAATCAATCCACCACCACTCCCTCCAATTTCAGCAGTCACTGATGTACTTTCTGTCTCTCTGCATTTGCCTATTGAGGACATTTTTTATGGATAGAATTAGACAATACGTGACCGACTTCTTTCACTTGGAATAATGTTTTCGAGTTTCACCCATGTTGTAACATACTTGGTTACTTTATTTCTTTTTATGGATGAATGATGTTCCCTTGTATGACATGACAAAATATTAAAATAAATATCTACCAGTATAATTAATCAATCATGAATGTATCAATTATATTTTTAATTAAAGTGAAATACACATAACAAAAATCATGATCTCAACCATTTCTAAATGTATAGTTCAGTAATTTTAAGTAGATTCACGTTGTTGTACATTGAATCTCCAGAACTTTCCAATCTTGCAAAATGGAAACTATACCCATTAAACTACACTCGTTTTCCTCTCCCTAGCCATTGGCAACCACCATCCTATTTTCTCTTATTATGAATTTGACCACTCTAGGTACCTCAAATAAGTGGAGTTATATAATATTTGTATTTTTTTTCTTCTTTTCTGCTGGTGATTGAGACCAGGGCCTTGAACATGCTAGGAAAGCACTCTACCACTGAGCTACACCCTCAGTCCTTTTTATCTTGAGATAAGATCTCACCAGGTTTCCCAGACTAGCCTCAAATTTACAATCTACTTTTTTTTAAAATTTTATTTAAGAGGAAAAAGAGAAAAACACAAAACAAAACAAAGCGGTGTAAGGGTACACATAATACAGAACTACAAAAAAAAAAACAGTAAGAAATCACCTGTTAATAGATTACATATTATCATCTTAGAAATAGTTGCTCAAATCACAGTATCA